CTGCTCCTATGATGCTGCTTGGCCTGCTGTGTTCATCCAGCCCTGCACCTTGTTGTCTCGGATTCTCCAGCATCTGCAGTTCCTACTATCTCTGCTTCAGTCTGCTCTGGGTTAGCAGTAAAGTGGCGGAAGGGGTCATCAATCAACAGTGTTATGAAGCAGTAACCCAGTCAGCACTAACCTCCGTCTCCTTCAGCGGTTTATTTACAATCCCATTGACCGCCTTTCCCTACCCTTCAGATCCTGTCCAACGGCTTTGGCATTTCCAGAAATTTCTCTCCCTCCCCCCGCCTAACCGTCACCAGCCGGCCAATCACCCGTTTGTTAGCTGCGCAGCGATTGGTCCGACCTCCACCCACTGTGGAAGAGAGGTGGTCGCTGATTGGTCCGGGGGCGGTTGCCGAGTGATGGTGGGGCCTTGACGCGGAGCGGAGAGAAGGGCCTGGGCCGGGCCCTGGGAGCTGCTCCGGGGGAGTGAGTGAGTGAGTGAGTGTTCCCGGGGGAGGGGCGCGGGTTGTAACGGTTCCTTCCCCCACCAATCCCGCTCCTATTTCCCCGGACCGGGGATGGGTTGGGGTGCGGGAGATGCTTAGACATTGCCGGGGGAGGGCGTAATAGTGAGGGCAATCGAGGCTGATTGCAACTTCGAGCCGGTTCTGTGTGGTTCTGAAGGGACTGAGCTGTCAGAATCAAATCCCACTTTAACAAAAGGGCAGCCTTTTGTTTTCCTGAGTTATTCCGAACTGTCAAATATCACTCCATAACTCTGAGGTATTTTCTAATCAGCCTGTTCAGGGACGTTATAGAAACGTACAGGATGGAAACAGCCCCTTCAGTCCCATGCCGACCATATTAGGGCCAAATTAGTGCAGATGCTGGGAATCGCTGCTAAAAACAACAAATGCTGGAAATCACAGGGGGTCACGCAGTATCCATGGAGAGAGAGCAGGCTAACGCTTCCAGATTAGATGACCCTTCATCAGGGCTAAAGTGAAGTGGGGGGAAAGAGCATTTATGCTATAGGTGGGAATGGGGTAGAGTGCTGGGGTAGAAAGGATGTTGACAATTTAGATTAAGTGATTGGAATGCAAGAATGGCAGAATAATGGTGTGTCTAACTTCGAGTTAAAAATACTGCAGATGCTAGAACCCAAGGGAGATGAACAGGAGGCTGGAAGAACACAACAGGCCGGCAGGCATTTGGGGTAAAGGATCTTGGGCAGCAGGTAGAACTGGGCAGTGCGGGGCTGGGGGACTATAAGGCTGGAGGCAGTGGAGGGGAGGTCACCGGAAGTGACGAAGTCATGGACAGTATGGGAGATGGTGGCTTGACAGGCCATGATGGGGTTGTGGTCAAGGCAGAGATAGGACGTGGTGTCGGAGTGTTGGCGTCCATCCTCTAGACTACCACTGCCCTGCCTTTGTCAGCGGGTTTGATAGTGAAATGTGGATTGGTGCAAAGAGAGTGGAGCGCTGCATGTTTGAAGCGGGAGAGGTTGTAGTGGGTAAACAGGTGGAGAAATCAAGGTGGTCGATGTTGTGTTGGCAGTTAGCAATGAAGTGGTCTAGAATAGGTAAGAGGCCGGCAGGGGGCCTCCAAGAGGAGGAGGAAGAGGACCCCGGAGAGTGGTTGGCAGTCTTTCTTGATGAAGAAGGCATGGAGGCGGAGGCAGCGGAAGAAGAGCTCCACTTGTGGGTACAGAACTTCTTTATCGAAGAAGAAGGTGTGGAGTGGACTGCCAGACTTGAAAGATCAGACAGACCCATGGGTGTTGGGGGAGGGGTAGAGGACATGATAATAGAGAATGTAACAAATAAAGCTAAAAGCAAGGGAAGGAATGGGAGTTGGCTCACAATTTGAAGGTGTTGAACTCAATATTAAGTCCAGAAGACTGTAAAGTGCTTAGTCTGAAGATGAGATGTTGTTCCTCCAGTTTGCATTGTGATTCAGTGGAACACTGCGGCATGCTGAGGACAGACACGTGGGCATACAAGCATGACGCTATGTTAAAATGACCGGCTATGGGAAGGTCAGGGTCTTGCTTGTGCACAGACCGCAGGTGTTCTGCAAAACGGTCACCCAGTCTGTGTTTGGTTTCTCCAATGTACAGTAGGCCATTTTGGGTCCAGTGAATACAATACACAAGATTGGAGGAGGTACAGGTGAAATGCTGCTTCACCTGGAAAGACTGTTTAGGCCTTTGGATGGTGAGCAAGGAGAGGATGAAGAGGCAGGTGTTGCACCTTCTGCGGTTACATGGGAAAGTGCTGTGGGGAGGGGGAGTGGTGTTGGTGGTCATGGAATGGACTAGGGTGTACTGGAGGGAATGATGCCTGCAAAATGCAGACAGTGGGAGTGATGGGAAGATGTGTTTGGCAGTGGTGTTCTGCTGGAGTTGTCAGATATGGCAGAGAATGATCCTTTGAATGCAGGGGCTGTTGGGATAAAGTGAGGACAAGGGAGCCTGATCATGCTGTTGTGAGTGATGGGAAGGGAAAAGGGCAGAAACATGGGTGATGGGTTGGATGCAGTTGAGGGCCCTGTCAACCACAATGGATGGGAAACCATGGTCATAGAAGAAGGAAGCATGTCAGCAGTGCTGTTTTGGAAAGTAACATCACGCAAACAGATGCGACGTAGGTGAAGGAACTGGAGAATGGGATGGAGTCCTTGCAGTATGGGTGTGACGAGCTGTAGTGAAAGTAGCTTTGGGAGTCAGTGGATAGTTTATTCCCCAAAATGGAAACACAGAAGTCAAGGAGAGAGAGAGGTCAAAAAATCACACAACACTGGGTTATGGTCCAGCAGGTTTATTGGAAGACACAAGCTTTTGGAGTCTCGCTCCTTCTTCAAGTGTCAGTCTCACATTCTGAACTATCAACATCTTTTCTTCACCAGCACCCTACACCCCACCACCCCCACATACCCCTCCCCAACTATTACATAAACGCTGTCCCCTCCACACTTCTCCAGCTTTTATCTTCAATTAATCTAGTTCTATTTGCCAGCATTTAGTCCATGTCCCTCTAAACTCTTCTTATTCATGTACCCATCCAGATGTGACTTAAATGTTGTAATTGTACTCGCCTCCACCATTTCCTCCGACTGTTCATTCCATGTACGCACCACCCTCAGTGTGGAAAAAGTTGCCCCTTAGGTCCCTTTTAAATCTTTCCACTCTTATCTTAAAGCTATGCCCTTGAGTTTTGGACTGCCCTATCCTGGGGAAAAGACCTTATGTTATTATACATAAACAAAAACAGAAATTGCTGTAAAATTTCAGCAGGTCTGGCAGCATCTGTGGCGAGAAATTAGAGTTAACGTTTCGGGTCCAGTGACCATTCAGAATCCTTCTGACCTAAGACGTTAACTCTGATTTCTCGCCACAGATGCTGCCAGACCTGAGGAGATTTTCCAGCAATTTCTGTTCTGCTCTTAATTTCCAGCTCATTCAGTTTTTTTTAATTATTTAATAAGTGGGACTTGAACCTGGCTTTTCTGGCTCAGAGGTGGTGACACTACCATTGCACCACAAGAACCCCTAATGAGGAGGTGCATGGAGACTAGAGGGGTTGCTTGAAAATCTTATGGAGCAACTTGATGCAAGGATTTTTTTTTTCCCTCTCAGAAGGAGGTGAAGGAGGGCGACGCAGTGGTTAGCACTGCTGCCTTGTAGTATCAAGGACCTGGGATTGATTCCAGACTAGGGTGACTGTCTGTGTGGAGTTTGCACATTGTCTGCTTAGGTTTTGGTTTGACGCTTTGGTTTTCTTCCCCAGTCCAAAGATGCGCCGCTTAAGTGGATTGCCATGGGAAATATTTCGATTTGATGATAGGGTAAGGGTGAGTCTGGGTGGGATGCTCTTCAGAGTGCTGGTGTGGATTTGATGGGCCAAATAGTCTCTTTCCATATTATAGGATTCTATGATCTGTTTAAGTCTTTATTGCAGAGGTCTGATGAGTCTTGGCCATTGAGTATATTTGTTCAAATCTGAGATAGACAGATTTCTAATCATTAAGGTAATTGAAGGGTTATGGAGAAAAGGCAGGAAAGTGGTGTCGAGGATTATCGATCAACTATAATCTCTTTGAATGGCAAAACAGACTCGATGGGCTGAATAGTCTGCTTCTGCATCTTATGGTTGTGCCAAATAGCAGAAGTCCAACTGTGACATTTTTATGATTATGTAAACTAATACAATATTAGCACCTTTTGTGACATTTTGGTTTCTGCATATACAAAATAAGGAAATTTGGACAATGTTTACTGGTTTGAATTCATATTAATAGTTTATTGTATTTTTATCCACATTTTTCCACGTTTAAGGCTACCTCAAATGAGATAACACGAAAGAAAAGTTAGAAAACTTGTTAATTTCAAATGTTACAACTTCTAGAATTGCAAGTAATTCATGAACTGAAAGCACAAGTCTCCACACACAAACAGTAACTTTTTATTAACCAGCATGTATGGGACCAGGAGTGTACCGAATGATCACATGTTCCAATTGATCACAAACCAAGTAATAGAAATGTAATACAGGGGTATACACGTCACTATTATACTTTATTTACAGCATGATAAGAAAACATTGTCTTAAATAAAACTTGCCGACAGAGAGCCATTTCACTTGCACCCTCAACTGACTACTCAGACATCACAGAGATTGCAACAAGAACGTAAATTTGTGTTTCAAGCATACAATTTTTGCTGGTTTAGTGAGAGTACCAGTTTAAAAAAAAGTTTGCTGTAATTATATATTTTGTGTTATGCAAAGGGCTTGATTAGTAGTCATGAAATTAACATGTTAACGGAGTATTTGCACTATATTTAGAAGAAAACTTCTGTGGTGAGTTTGGTTAGTGTGAAAATAGAACAACTCAGTGAAAGTCGCAGAGATCAGATGTGAGCTGCCCTTCTTGCCAGCAGTTTGTGACAATTTGAAATTCTCTGGGTATCTTTTTCTTGCCAAAGGTTGCTGGCCACTTTGCAAATTGATAAAGGTCAGGTTTTGTTAGTAAAACGCAGAATGTGTCTTATTGACGAAAACTGAGTGTTGTGGGAGGAGTAGGAGGAGAATTAGCATTTTCCGTAAATTCTCTAAATTTCTGTAACTTGGAAGATTTGACACATTTTAACATTTGTGAAGGTGCTCTGAAGCAGGGAAAGCTGAAATTAGTAACAAAATTGGAACAGTAAAGATATGGTGAAGATATTTATGAGCTGATCAAGAAAACTGATAGTGGTGTGCCAGAGTGCATTTTCCAAAGTCAGTACTACTCTTGGGCTACCATGAAAAATGATGGTTTACCATTGATAATGTAAGTAGTTTTGGAGATAATGGGGCAGAAACTTGCGACCTTCTACTGGTCAGCAGTTGTTTTTAATAAAATGATTTGATCCATTTTTGATTTTCCGCATTTATGTTGATAGGGCCACTTTGATCAAAAAGTAGACAAGACTTCATCTAAAGCGAA